CTTGGTAATCAGTCTGCAAAAGTGCCACCTTGTTTTGTTCGGGTTGATGTTGCACACTGCATCAAGATGATCTGCCAGTGGGACTGCTTGAAGAAAAAAGCACATCGCGTTAAAGATTTCTTTGTGAGGTCAATGGCACAGCTTCTAAAGTCACAATCCATGGACGATGCTAGAGAGCTACTACGCAGCATTACTGTTGTGGCTCTCAGTGAAACAGAGGGCAATGACAGCTCTGGAGTCCCCCTCATATCAGAAAGGTGCAAGAAATACCTGAAAGCCCGAATTGCAGAAGAGTGTGTCATCATTCCAGATGTAGAGGGTGAGGACCTGGAAAAAGCAGATCAAACGCAGTGGGTGGGTGACCAAACGCAGACAGACCTACGGCAGTGGGTGACAGAAATATGTGAGGAAAGCAGGTCACTTGCTTGGAGATCATGATAATATGCACTTCCTCCCTGAGATTATTCACAATATAATCTGGCTTGCAAGCTACTTACCACTCTGGACAGGGGTAATGATCCCTCACTTCCGAAGCACCAATATCATCGCAAGTTCAGCCAATGTTAAAGCAGAGTTCAAAAACATTAAACGTGGCCTTTTCAAGCATGAAAACTTGCCGATTCGGGTGGATCGATTCATTGCTCGACATCTGTCCTTCATTGAAGGCAACATGCGCATTTGTTCTGCAAAACAAAAAAGTAAAGAAAAAGGTGAAGAAGATGCAGCTGTTGCAACAGTGATCGTCAAAGAAGCCAATCCTCTACCAACCATAACTTGCAGTGAAGGTGTAAAACCAGAAATGGATGCTTCCTGTTCTGGGAAGTCTGACATTGTCACAATCATCCATCCAACAGATGAAGACCCTGTTGAAAACTGGAGAGGCCTAGCTCTTCCACCCAAAAAGAGAAAGAGGAATTCATACCTCTCTCCTTGTCCTGAATGGCTCCATGCAGATCCATCTGTGAGGGGGAAAAGACTGAAAGTGGAACTGTTGAAAAATGGAAATAATCAACAGCCTGTTAAACTCAGGAAATCAAGAATCTCTGTGCTGAACACATGTGCATTTGATGCTTTTTGTCAATGCTTATGTTGTGCTTTCTGTGATAGTGTCACCTTTGCAAATATTGTTTGTGGTGAGGACTCCAACAACCTCCTCCAGCTAGTGAAAACCATCACCACAAAGGGTCTGAATGCACAGGCCTACATACAGAGGGCAGAGCTGCTGAGTGGAATATTCAAACCTGTCCAACTGAAGTCTGGTGCTCTCCAAATCGACGCACAGTGCCACATCTCCACTATCATTGAAAAATCAGTGACAAAACATGCATGTGTTTACTTCACAAAACAGTGCTCCTCACAGTATTGCAGTCACAGCACACAAGTCACAAGGGAAATACCATTTGTTTGTACTTCTGTTGCTGTATTGCAGGCTTCTGGCATCGCTTATCTTCAGACCGCAGTGGAAGAAGGCCTTAACCTTCCGGAGTCCCCCTGTCTCAGGCCAATCCAAAGTCCATCACAGTGTCCCTCTGCATTCAAGACAGACTCTACATCAGGAAAAGTGCTCTGTGCAGGGAAAGTTTCTCACAGTTACAGTCTAGGAGAACTTCTGTGGATTGACACTGACCTGGGAAGCAACTCCATAGAATTTCCTTTGAGTGAATTTCCCTCCAATCTGATGCTCCAAGGAGAGAGATTTACTTTAAGGGCAGTCATTGCTTTCAAAGGAGGCTTAATCCAGGATGCTCTTGGACATTATGTGGCCTACTGCAGGAGGTCTCCATGTGTCTGGGAGATGTATGACGACCTGAGAAGTGGAGTGACAGGAGTGTCAGAAAAAAACAAAATATGCCCACATGCAGTGTTATACACAAAAGATTGATTGCACTGTTTACATGTAATCTCACAAGTATTTTTGTTGTAAGCCACACACCCATGTTTTCCTACTCCTGTTTGGAGAAGTTGTTTCTGCTCTTCTGGAAGTCAGACTTGATGGAGTTTGCACTTAAATCTATTATTCTGTGTGGCACTTTTGGTTTGAAGGCAGACAGTGTGGCATGGCTTGTCAGTATTAAGCGTTTTTAAGTTTAAGTTTTTAAAGGTCCATTATTTGTGTTAATGGATGTCCGATAGTACACTTTAATACAGTTTCACAAGTAAAATAATTTTGACAATTCATTGAGTCATGAGTTTCCACATACATACATGCATATAATACACACACACATATAGCTTATGTATGTATAAACACAGAGATACAGCAAACATATTATGGTGCGTGTATTTATGACATATACTGTTATTCACGTAATGACACACAGTAACAAGTAAAAACATTTACCTTGGAGTTGGTGTTACATTCCACTTATCCTGTGAACCGCTGTGTCTGTTATAAGTTGGAAACAGTCGATAGGTAACTTAACTAGGATCCGCTTGGATCTTACCTTGTTACTTTAACTGTATAGTTTTAAAAAAACACAGCCGCAAAAACAACAATTTTTACAGCACAAACGGAACACAAACGATTGAGACTATTTTTGCGACGTTTTGCGTTGGGTGGGGGCCAACTTCACGGAGGTCCTCCCTCAGCATTTCAACATTGTATCAACTACTGAACACATTCATGTTAATTTTAAATATCACTATGTTGGTTATTTAACCATGTATTACTATGTCTTTGGAAGGCTTTTGTCATTCAAACACATTAAAATGCACACATTCAAGTAACACATTTGCATGTTCACGGTTCTCTGATGTTGGTTAATGAACACATGACATGCAGGTAAACAAATAACATATTACATTTTTTAGAAAGTGTTTTATTTTGATTGATGTTATTTTAAAAATATTTATTTTAATTTTACATTTTTATGATTTAATTATAATTTTTTTTTTTTTTAAGATTGTCATTAAACTCACAAACCTCAGCTTGGGAAAACTTGATAATGTAATGAAAGGTTTAATGCACTTCATGTTGCTAATTACAACCAATGGAATATATTTTCTTACTCTTTGTATTTTGATATCAATATGGTACAGGATTATCCTATTTAAATCAATGTGATAAACAAGTTATGTCGAAAGTACTCTAAAAGTAGTATGATTATATTACCTAAAAATGTATGTGTAATGTAATGGATTATGTTTCTAAATACAATTTTTGTCATGTAATTTAAAATAAGTAACGGACTGCAATTTGTAAGTAATCGACCCAGCACTGGATATATATTCAGTATATGCTGTGCTTGAGTGCAGACAGCATTGAAAAGCACCAGAGGTGTAAAGTATTGGAGTAAATGTAATTAGTTACTGTACTTGAGTATCTTTTTGGTTTGTAGTTGGTTGTACTGAGTATCAAAGATATTAGCAACTTTTACTCTCTACTTCACTACATTTTTGAATGAGTATCTGTACTCTTTACTCCACTACATTTGAAATGAGTGTTGCAGTTACACATTACATTTTGCATGGACCTAGCTTTTTCTGCAGCAGTTTATTTCTGCTACAAAAGACGTGATACTGCCTATTACAGGTCACTGAAAGTACTGCGTTTTGCCCTTACTCACCCAAACTTGTCAACAAGGCTACTTTATGTGAATGCGAGTTCCTTAGCAAGTATTTGTGAATCACAGGTGTTTTATATATGAGATGAGGACATGACTGCAGCCGGCAATGAGGCCCAAACTATACTGAAGAGACCTTTTTGAAAGATATTGTTTTTGTTTGTTTGTTTTGTTTTGTAATTTTGAGCTGTTCAGTTTTATTTTGGTTTTAGAAAATAAACGTGATTGCTCTCCTCACAAATCAACTCTTTCTTGTTTTTGTTTCATGTTGTCTGTGCCTTGCCCTGGACTTTTATGTCACTTCCTGTCTCCTGTGGTGTTTGTAGTCAGTTTGTAGTCTGTTTGTTCATTGGTTCCCCTTGATTAGTCTCCTCAGGTGTGTCTTATCTTGTTAAGCTTGTTAGCCCCCAGTGTGTATATATAGCCCTAGTTTTTCTTTAGTTCCTTGCGAGTTGTTGAATGTAATGGTTGTCTGTTTGCCAGTCATTCTGTTCTTTGTTCCCTTTGGTTTTTGTTTTTTGGCTTATTGTTTGTTCTAGTTTTTCCATGAAATACCAGCACAGAGATCCTTGCCTCTGCCTATTTTCTGCAGCTTCTCCACAACATTACAGTTTTTTAACTAGCGTGTCTCTTTGACTAGTGCATTTTTTGAGCCTATATTTAGTATAAGTAAAATACTTAAGTACTGTTAAAATCAGATACTCTAAGACTTCTACTCAAGTTGTTTTGGAATTGGTGACTTGTAACGTGTAGTGGAGTAATTTTCACTGTAAGGTATCTGTACTTTTACTCAAGTATGTTTTTTAGGTACTCTTTACACCTCTGAAAAGCACTGAGGTAATATTATAGTTTAAAACAACTTAAAAAATAATCAAGTGTCAAATAGCATCTTTTCTGTGATGTTCACCATCCATTGTTTGACATTGAGGAATGCAGCTTTAGTCTTGGCCTAGTAAATCTGAAGCTTATTAAGACTCTATTGACAACGCATGCACCACCATCCTTGTTATCACAAGCATTTATGGAAAAATATCCTAATCTTTTTGTTAGCGATCTTGAAACCGGCCAGTCAATCCATCAGTGTCAAACAACAGGTGCCTTTGTCAAAATCTAAGGGCTAGAAAGAGGCAGCGGGGCTTAGAGTTTCACTCTTTGAAAGTGATACGGGCCGTACGTCTCCCCCTCTGAATGTAGTGCTGAAGGACAGACCACCCAACTCTCAGCACTTAAAGCGGGAGTAGACGGCCTTTCACAATACGTACTCCCTCACATCATGACCCCACTCTGAGGAAGTCATTCATTTGCACATGACATACTCCCCTCTTGAACTACAGAAACAAAAATACACACATCCAACACAGAACAAATCATTGTAATTACATGTATAAACATGGGCATTTTAAATCTTAGTTTTATGGTAATTTGGGCAATGATGGAGAATCTACCCTCATCCACTGGCATGGAAGATGTTTTTGGCGAGCGTTTGCCGGGTTCGTCTGAGACATGCGCTTGAGGGACTGTGGTGAGCTGAAGGGTGTGAGTCTATTGTCCCAGCCTGATTCTGCAGTCGGCCAAGATGCTCTCATTCCACTGGCTTGTAAAGTGAACTTCCATTGGTGACGAATGACTGTGGCATTTTCAACTCTGGCCCTAGAGGCTCCTAGGGGAACCTTTACACCATTTACAGTGAACCGTGCACAGGGCAGAAACCCATTATGTAGCTCCACCAAAAACACTGCATGTTAGAGAGCTCCCATTTATGTCCAGCATTTTCCATATGTAATCAAGTCACTATGTGACAATTGTATATACTGGAAATATTTGGAAATATGTGTTTGGTTTGTCTGAACAGAATGGTGCTAATAAAAATGTGCTTGATGCAAAATTTTGGGAGGAATTTACTGTTTAAAAAAGAATAAGAAAAATAATATGAATAAGTAAAGTGTAATGTGCCTGTAATCTAAGAAAAAAAAACTTCACTATGTCATACATTAAAACCATTAGG